CTCCCATCTCCAATCGGCTTCTCACACGAGCCGATCTAACCTCATTTTTTTTACACACCGATCACACGAGCCGATCACCCCATCACATACAAGCCGACTTCTTTCTACCCACCTACACCACCACAAGCCGAAAACCTTAGAAGCCGAAAACCTCACATTCAGCCTCTCCCCATCGGCTCCCCTCTCACTCTCCATCCTATACACACAAGCCGAACACCCCTTCCCCTTCTCTAATCCCATTCGGCTCACTCACCCCCCCCACCGATTTTCCCCAAAACACACAACATCGACCCCCCTTGCAAACCGACCCCCTCCCAAATCGGCTTCTCCTCAAACCAACCCACCACCTCTTCCTTCGGCCATTCCCCACCAAGCCGATTCACATTACACAAGCCGATTCCACCCCCTTCGGCTTGCTCAAGTTTGTGACCAACCCCCCACTCACCGATCGCTACATAAACCGATCCCTCACCCCCCTTCCCCAAGCCGATTGTCAACAATCACCCACTCTACAAGCCGATTCCCCCTCCCACTTCTAAGCCGATCCTCCCTTCGGCCCAAACTACATTCGGCCCACACACATTCGGCCCACCTTCTCTTTTTCTAAACCCTAGAACCCCTCTCCCTCTTTATAAATACCTCTCATCGGCCTCCCCTATATCCCTCCCACCTATACCGCTCCCTCTTGCACGCGGACCACCCTCAACCATCCTCACTCTTAAAAAACCTCATAAGCCGAAACCCCCCTCGCCGACCTCCTTTGTTCAGCGCCGACTACAAGCCGAACTCCCCTTCTCGCTCGGCCTCCAACACACCGATCCTAGCCCCTCCTTTCAATCGGCTTCCTCTCACACCCCTTCTTGATCTCTCGCATCCACTTTCTAAACCCCAAGCTGATCTCAGAAGCCGATCCTACCCAAATCGGTTTCCTACTCCCATCCACTCATCGATTTCCCTTTCCCCATACCCCAAATCGGCGCCCCCCCCCCCTTCCTTTCTTGTCCCCTTTTTCCCAACAACATATTTTGTTCACACCTACCCCTTACTCCCATCACATCTCATCTACTTTTCACTCACCTAAGACCCACACACCCCTATTCCTTACACCTATCTCTTTCACTTTTTTACCTTCCCCGTACAAACCCTCCTTTTACCCACTATATATTTCCCTATTTCTTTTTTCTTTAAAACCCCCCAACTCTGATCTTCTCTAACTCATCTCCATCTCTCCTCTTCTTTCAAAACCTCCACCTTTCTTCTCTAAAGATTTTACTGTGTGTTTTTCAAGATTCTATCTCCATGGCTTCTAAAGTTGGGACTCCCTCCAAAGCTCCAAAGATTAAGAAATCCCTTATTGCTGATGATGTTACTTTTTCTCCATGCAACTTTGTGGCCTTGTTGGATCACAATGAAAAGTATCCGAATTTCTTCATCATAATCGAATTTCTTCGTAAGTGCCCTCTTTTCAAAGCTCTTACGTTTTCTCCTAAGATGAGTAAATCTTTGCTTCTTGCATTTTGGGCTACATGTATCTATGATGCTTCCACTAAATCTGTGCATGCCTCTGTCTTGTCTCCCAATGATATATCTTTTACTGCTGATGATTTAAGAAGGGTGTTAGAGCTTCCCACTTATTCCTCTTATGATGAGCTTATATCTGTTGATAACCTTCATATTGTTGCTACCACAATGGGCTATGTGCAAGACCCTGCTTTGCTAAAACAAAGCACTTTATATAGGAAGAATATGGGTGGTGTCTGGAATTTCTTCTTTTCACATCTTATTCAATGCTTGAGTTCCAAAACTGGAG